AGATGATGCAACCGGATAAAGAATAATAAGTGAAAATAAGAATGGGAAAAGGTGAAGCAGGCCCACACCCAGAAGAAAATAAGAGTAGGAAAAGATGAAGATGGCCCATGCCAGCAGGTGGGATGCAGGGCTGGCAGGACGCCTGGTTGCCTGTTCTTCAGCAGCCAGCAACCTAGTGCCTGTGGCTGGACAAGCAAAGGAAGACACAAGCTGGCTTCAGGTTGTGATGAGGGATATGAAGAAAATCAAAGTTAAACGTGGTGCATGAAATTAAAAGCAAGCCTATTTTTTTTTTCTGAAGGAAAATTCCTGATTCTGGGAATTGAAAGAAAGATTCACCATGAGCCTTAATTTTTTCTTTTCCCCAGATACAGTGTCTCACTCTGTCTCTCAGGCTGGAATATGGTGGTGTGATTTTTTTTTTTTTTTCTGAGATGGAATCTCACTCTGTTGCCCAGGCTGGAGTGCAGTGGCACAATCTCAGCTCGCTGCAACCTCCGCCTCCTGGATTCAATTGATTCTCCTGCCTCACCCTCCCGAATAGCTGGAATTACACGTATGCACCACCACACCCAGCTAATTTTTTTGTATTTTTAGTAGAGACAGGGTTTCACCACATTGACCAAGCTGGTCTTCAACTCCTGACCTCAGATGATCTACCCACCTCAGCCTCCCATAATGCTGGGATTACAGGCGTGAGCCACCATGCCCAGCCCCCTGGCCAAGTCTTAATATTTTTATTTTTCTGTTAATTTTTTTGGAAGATCTATTATGATTGGACCCTCAGGAAATCATGGAGAAGAAAATGACAAGGCACCCTGTCCTCTGGAAATTTGAGTAAAACAGGTCTCAGCTACTGATGATCTCTCTACTACCCCCACCCCCCTCCTTCTCATAACCGTAGGCCCTGTTGCTTTCACCTCTTTCTCGTCCTCTGATTAAATGAGCTACCCAGAGTAATACCAGGTTAGTAGCAAGCTGGGCCAAGAAGGTGACTGTCTGGATGGTAGATCCACTTTCTTCTTGTAACGTCCACCCCTCTGGGTAATCAAGTGTTGGAATCTAGGCTGTCATAGGCACTACCATATAGGCCCCTTGTGGACCAGCCACCTTTGCTTATCAGTTGAATCCACTTCAAATGAATATCAAAGGCAGCCTCCAAGGAGGGAGGTGATTCAGCAAAGCACAGCTTGTTTGGTAGGAGAGATGTGAGAGGGAAGGCCCTAGTCTCTGATTCTAGCCCTCTGACTCCAGCCAGACCAGTGTGTCCCGCACCACGCCACCCCACCCCAACACCCTCTCACATACTCATTCTGAGTTTTGAATCCCTCTTCTGGTTCCACTAGCACCCTAGGCTCAGCTCTATTCTCAAATGCCTCTTGAGGATGACATTTTTTTTTTTTTTTTTTTGAGACGGAGTTTCACTCTGTTGCCCCGGCTAGAGTACAATGGCCAGATCTCAGCTCACTGCAACCTCCGCCCCCTTCAGGTTCAAGTGATTCTTCTGCCTCAGCCTTCCGAGTAGCTGGGATTACAGGCATGCACCACCATGCCCAGCCAATTTTTTGTATATTTAGTAGAGATAGGATTTCACCATGTTGGCCAGGCTGATCTCGAATTCCAGGCCTCAGGTGATCCACCTGCCTCGGTCTCCCAAAGTGCTGGGATTACAGGCATGAGCCACTGAGCCCAGCCGGAGATGACTCTTTTATGTCATGGCTTCACTAAGTGTATTCTGGAAGCATCTGCAACAGAGTCATCTGGATGCTTTAGCAGCGGCCACCAGACAGTGAGTGTTTCATGGTATTTCTCACAGCAGGTGGGGAATGTGTTTTTGGTAAGAACCCTGACCTAAAGAGATGTGGATGAATAGGGTCCTCTCCAAATTCATGTCCACTTGGAATCTCAGCTTGTGACCTTATTTGGAAAGAGGGTCTCTGTAGATGTAATTAAGGTAAGATTTGAGATGCTATCATACCAGATTAGAGTGGGATGTAAAGCCAGTGAGTGTCCTTATAAGAGATAAAAAAGAGCCAGCTGTGATGGCTCGTTTTTTTAATCCCACCACTTTGGAAGGCCAAGGTAGGAGGATTACCTGAGCCCAGGAGTTTGAGACCAGCCTGGGCAACATAGTGAAACCCCATCTCTACAAAAAAATACAAGAAAAAAATTAGCCAGGCATGGTGATGCACGCTCAGGAGGTGAGAGGATTGCTTGAGCCCAGGAAGTCGAGGCTGTAGTGAGCCATAATCGTGCCACTGTAATACAGACTGGGTGATAAAGCAAGACAGTGTCTTGAAAAAAAAAAATTGTATTAAAAAAATAGGAGATGCAAAAGAACACACAGAGACCCACAGAGAGGACAGCCATGAGAAGACTGAAGTAAGCAGAGATGGAAGTCATGCTGGCACAGCCAAAGCACACCTGAGAACACCAGAACCTGAAGGAGGCAGGAAGAGACAAGGGAGGCTCCTCAAGAATCTTCAGAGGGGGCGTGCCCTTGCTGATACGTAGATTTGGAACTTCTAGCCTCCCGAATTATGAGTGAATACATTTTCTGTTATTTTAAGCCACCAAGTTAGTAGTAATTTGTTCTGGCAACAACAGCTTCCCACTCCTGGGAGAAACAAATGCAAGGGACGTCCCCCTCTAGAGGGTTTAACTGCTGAGGCCATTACTGCCATGCAGACAGCTGATTATGATGGCAGAAAAAATAAATTTGATAGAGAGTTCCAAGAGAGTGTGCCCAGGCTAGGGGAGGGACAGAGTATTACAGAAAACATGCCCTCAATTCATTACTAGAAGTGAACTCGTTGCATTTGGAAGGAGTTAGCCTAAGATGTGACTACTCTGGGCCTGAAACAAGCCAGGCACATGTTAACACAGGAGAGGTGAAGTGGGATGCAATACAGAGACCAGGCAAGGAGTGGACCAGCTTTGAGACTGCTCCCTCACTCCCTGATTAAGGCTGTTACCAGCTGCTCTGTAAGAGACTGGATATCCCTGCATGGATTGAAATTGATTTATTGATTGATTAATTAATTTGTTTTTTTTGAGATGGAGATTCACTCTTCTTGCCCAGGCTGGAGTGCAATGGCACAATCTTGGCTCACCACAAACTCTACCTCCCAGGTTCAGGTGATTCTCCTGCCTCAGCCTCCCGAGTAGCTATGATTACAGGCATGCACTACCATGCCTGGCTAATTTTCTATTTTTAGTAGAGACAAGGTTTCTCCATGTTGGTCAGGCTGGTCTCGAACTCCCAGCCTCAGGTGATCTGCCCTCCTAAGCCTTCCAAAGTGCTGGGATTACAGGTGTGAGTCACTGATCCCAGGCTGATTAATTGATTTACATGGTCTTGCTCTGTCGCCCAGGCTGGAGTGCAGTAATGGATCATAGCTTGCTGCAACCTTTAACTCTTGGGCTCAAGTGATCCTCCTGCCTATGCCTCCTGAATCGCTAGGCCTACAAGAGCATGCCACCAAACCCAGGTAATTTTTGTATTTTTTGTAGAGATGGAGTCTTGCTATGTTGCCCACGCTGGTCTTGAACTCTTGGCCTTATGTGATTCTTTCAATTTGGCCTCCCAAAGCTCTGAGATTATGGGTGTGAGCCACCATGTCCGGCCAAAATATGTTTATAGTACCCACTTTGTGTGCCAGATTTAGGTCCAGCATGGAATGTCTAAGGGACAAATGCAGTTCTTACCCTCACAGAGCTGGTAATAATGTATCAGGAATACCTTAGTTGCCGGTAACAGAAAACTCAACATAAACTGACTTAAACAATAAAAGGAGGCTGGGTGTGGTGGTTCAAGCCTATAATCCCAGCACTTTGGGAGGCCGAGGCAGGCAGATCATGAGGTCAGTAGTTCAGGACCAGGCTGGCCAATATGGTGAAACCCCATCTCTACTAAAAATACAAAAATTAGCCAGGTGTGGTGGCGTGTACCTGTAGTCTCAGCTACTTGGAAAGCTGAGACAGAAGAATTGCTAGAACCCAGGAGGTGGAGGATGCAGTGAGCAGAGATCATGCCACTGTACTCCAGCCTAGGTGACAGAGTGAGGCTCCGTCTCAAAAATAAATAAATAAATGGAACTTATTATTCCCAGTAATTCACGAGGCATTTCGGGCTTCCAGAACCATTCGGCCAAGCTCCTACTTGGGTATATTCAATTATAAACTAACTGGCAAATGGCTTGTATCTATGTAATTTGTCTTGATGTTTTCTTATTTCTTTTATTTTTTCTTTTTATTTATTTATTTATTTATTTTTGAGGCGGAATTTCACTCTTGTTACCCAGGCTGGAGTGCAATGGCGTGATCTCGGCTCACCGCAACCTCCGCCTCCTGGGTTCAGGCAATTCTCCTGCCTCAGCCTCCTGAGTAGCTAGGATTACAGGCACATGCCACCATGCCCAGCTAATTTTTTGAATTTTTAGTAGAGATGGGGTTTCACCATGTTGACCAGGATGGTCTCAATCTCTTGACCTCGTGATCCACCTGCCTTGGCCTCCTAAAGTGCTGGGATTACAGGTGTGAGCCACCGTGCCCGGCCCTTATTTCTTTTCTTAATGTTATTGTTGTTGTTTTGGGGGTTGTCTTATTTCTGATATTGCTGGAATATACACAGAGGAGCCCAGTGAAAATAAGCCTTAATTTATTTCTAATTATTTTCTAAACCAGGGTAATGGAATAGATATAGGGTCATTTGACTGCTTGCAAAAATGCTTCATGCAAAGATATAATCAGACAAAATGGGGTGCTGAAAGACTCGGCCATGAGCAAAATACCATCAAGGTCTGCCGCAGTTGTTTCCAAACTTTAGGGTACAAAATGATTCCCTTGAGAGTTTGTTTAAAATGCTGATTCTTGTGCCTCACTCCAATCTCCCTCATCAAATTCTGATGGGGAAGATACGAAGGGGGGCTTGATATTCTGTATTCTTATTAATCATCCCTGGAAGTCCAAGGACCACACTTTAAGATCTACCAACTTACCTTGGAAGTGTTTGTGACCAGAAGCATCAGGCTTTTTCTCAACCTCTTGCTGCCAGGTTTGTGTTGCGAAGGGGGCTGACCTCAAAGTGACTGACCGATCTGTCAACGCGATACCTGGGGAAGGTGCTCCTCTCTGCACTTCCATTCCAATGTGATGGCATGAGGGGAGATTCTCTCACAGATTACTCCTCCTGCACCAGGTCAGACAGGGATAGAATGGGGGTGTGACTTACTGATCACCTTGCCCTTTCAACATCTAAATGCACCGACCCAGCACTGACCCTGGACTCATGTCCCAAAAAGCATTTGAAAGAATTTAGAAAAGCTGACAAAGGTATGAGAAGACAAAATAAGCTCTGTTAATATGTAGCAGAAACTGTTAGAATAAGATCTCTTAGGGGCAGTATCCTTCTTCCATTTATTTTGGGTATAGATCACATCATCATGATAACTACCATCTTCATCATCAACAACAGCAATCAGTAGTTACGGAGCACTCGAAGGATGAGGGCTATTTTTTTTGCAAAGGCAGGATCTCTGTTGCTCAGCCTTGTCTTAAACTTCTGGCACTGAGCAATCCTCCTGTCTCAGCCTCCCACAGTGCTGGGATTATAGACCTGAGCCCCTGTGCCTGGCCTAGGGCTGTTATTTTGTATTCCATTTCCATGCCTTTGGGCCAAAGGATTTTATTCAGGTATCCCCAACGCCACCAAAATTATTTTAAACATTTTCACAGAAATGGTTTTTCTCGCCGACATGGATATCCTTCTGCTTCTGCTCGTCTGAAAATCTACCTTATTTTCTTTAAAGATATACTAGTATTTCATAGTATGTAACACTCATATTTTTTTCCTATTGTTTGCCTATAAATTCCCTGGCATGCACCCATATTTTAAAAATCAGTTCCTGCTGATGTAGATTCGGGTTGTTGCAGGTTTTTGCTAATTCGAGCAGTGCCATAATGAACCATGTCATGCCTGCCTTTGCACAAGTGAGTGATCATTGATGTAAGACCAACACCTAGAAGTGTAATTGATAGGTCAAAGCGTAGAGTCATTTACATTTTTGGCAGGTACCTCAATTGTTTTTGGAAAGTTATGGCGGTTTATACTTGTACCAGTAGTGATGAGCAAGTGCCTATTTCCTCCTGTCAGTACTGAGAATTACATTTTCAATGTTCTTTTGGCACTCCGATAGGTGGAAAACTGCATCATGTGTTTCTGTGCACTGCTTTTACTTGCATAATGTGTTTATGGGTCATTTGTGTATTTTTATTCTGTGAAATGCTGAATCCTTCGCTAAACATATGAAAAGATTCTTTTAAACGGAGGTTAACTTTTTAAAAAACTATTTAATTTTTAAAATAGTAAGCTTTTTAGGAAAATGTATGATATGAAAGTATTGAACACGTCATGTCTCATTTATGTTATGTAATTGATCCCACAGTCATAGAATAGAAAGAAGCTGATAATCAGCATGAGTATTTAAAATGGTTTCTGAGTCTTACGGAAAAAAATTTAAGCTTTTTTGAACAAGAAAATAAAACAAATTAAGAACTGCAGTCTCTCTGCCAGTCACCGTGCTAGGCGTGGCGACTGTTCTGCCACTGAACAATTATTTGATGCCATTAAGACTTTCATTCTCATGTTTTTTTTTTTTTGTTTTTTTTTTTTTGAGACAGAGTCTCACTCTGTTGCCCAGGCTGAAGTGCAGTGGTGCAATCTCGGCTTAATGCAAATTCTGCCTCCTGAGTTCAAGTGATTCTCCTTTTCAGCCTCCTGAGCCACTACACTTGGCTCATTTTTTAGTTCTACTAGAGACGGGGTTTCACCATGTTGGCCAGGCTGGTCACAAACTCCTGACCTCAAGTAATCCACCTGCCTCAGCCTCCCAAAGTGCTGAGATTACAGGTGTGAGCCATCGAACCCAGGATCACTCTCACTTTTAAAGAGAATGCTTTCCACTTTCTGCTGAGGAGATCTGACAAACACAAAAATGAAGCAGGCAAAGATGATGCCAGTGACCCTTTCTGAGTTCCCAACCACAGCGTAGCCTTGACGATGCACTGGGTTTCACAGAGCTCCTCAGCAGAAAGGGGAAAGGGGCAAGTATTCTCTTTAAAAGCGAGGGTGAGAATCATAACAGCATCAAATAATTGTTGAGAAGATCCAATGGTAGAACAGTTGCCACGTCTAGCACAGGGACTGGTAGAGAGACAGCAATTCTTAATTTGTTTTATTTTCTTGTTCAGAAAAGCTTCACTTTTTTTCCGTAAGACTCAAAAACTATTTTAAAATTCATCCTGATTATCAGTTTCTTTCTATTCTATGACTGTGGGATCAAATTACATGATATAGATGGGACATGAAGTCCCATCTTCAGAATCTTCGAATTATACATTTTCTTAATAAAGAAAGCTTACTATTTTAAAAATTAAATATTTTTAAAACAACCTCTGTCATCAAACACAGCATTGTCAGGCTATGCTGTGGTTGAAACCATTTTCAATGACAGTTGAGAGAGACTCCCTCTTACTGAGAGAGGCAGTCTGAGAAACAGATTAAATACTGAAACACTGGGATGTTCAGTAGGATGTCAGTGACTTCCACTCAAAGATCATGAGGGATCCACCTGGGATTGAACAAATTGAGCTTATTTCTAGTAGCAAATAGGGAGAACACAAGCAATGGGAAGCTTTTAGAATGGTGTGTTAGAAAATGTCTATAATTGGGCTGGGCATGATGGCTCACACCTGTAATCCCAGCACTTTGGGAGGCCAAGGTGAGTGAATCATGAGGTCAGGAGTTCAAGACCAGCCTGGCCAAACATGGTGCAAACCCTGTCTCTACAAAAAACACAAAAATTAGCTGGGTGTGGTGGCAGCATCTGTAATCCCAGCTAGTCGGAATGCTAAGGCAGGAGAATCACTTGAACCTGGGAGGTGGTGGTTGCAGTGAGACAAGATCAAGTCACTGCACTATAGGCTGGACATCTCAAAATAAATAAATAAATAAATAAAAAGTATCTACAATTGGCTGGGGACAGTGGCTCATGCCTATAATCTCAGCACTTTGGGAGGCTGAGGCTGGTGGATTGCTTGAGCCCGGGAGTTAGAGACCAACTTGGGCAACATGGCAAAACCCTGCCTCTACAGAAAATACAAAAATTCGCTGGGCATGGTGGCATACACCTATGGTCCCAGCTACTCGGGAGGCTGAGGTGAAAGGATTGCCTGAGCCTAAGAGGTCGAGGCTGTAGTAAGCCATGATTGCATTACTGCACTCAGCCTGGGGACAGAGTAAGACCTCGTGTCAAAAAAAAAAAAAAATCTATTTTAGAATTTAAGCTTGTGTCAGGTGATTTGGAGGGTGGTTCAAGAGAGTCGGATTTTGCTCTGGATTATATGCTGTCGGAAGCAGATGTAACTCTGATCTTATTTTTTTTAATTTAATTTTTTTTTTTTTTTGAGATGGAGTCTTGCTCTTTCACCCAGGCTGGAGTGAAGTGGTGCAATCTCCGCTCACTGCAACCTCCAGCCCCTGGATTCAAGTGATTCTTCTGCCTCAAACTCCTGAGAAGCTGAGATTACAAGTGCCCACCACCATGCCTGGCTAATTTTTGTATTTTTCATAGAGATGGGTTTTTGCCATGTTGGCCAGGCTGGTCTCAAACTTCTGACCTCAGTTGATATGCTTGCCTCGGCCTCCCTAAGTGCTAGGATTACAGGCATGAGCCACCACACCCGGCCTAATAGTTCTCATCTATCAGGCAGGAGGAAAAAGTCAAGGCTAAGGAAGCAGCAGTTACCACTAGGCTGGATAGGGAAGATTTTGGTAATTTTTGTGTCTGTCTTGGACAGTGTTCATGTTTTGCCTGTGTTGAGACATGGTTATAGAGGAGTCTTGTTTTTGTCTTCATCCATCATGGTCACAATGGTCTTGTCTGATATTGATGCTCTGTGAAGTTGTTTATAGGAGAACACCAGAGCATCCAGATCAGGAGCCACTTTTCTATTAGAATGTTTTAGAAATTGTTTAAAATAAGAACCATCCCCCAAATTCCAGCATATAGATTGCCCTCTTTAGACCCCACCTCTTTCTCACCAGATATGCAGAGGCCATAGGCATTCCAGTTGAAAGTGTGAACTCTGACTCCAGGTAGCTGAGGCTGGAATACTGCTCTGGTCACCTCTTAACTGTTTGTGAACCTGAGCAAATTACTTACTGTGATGGCTAATTTTATGTGTCAGCTTGTCTGGGCTAAGAGATGCCCAGATAGCTGGTAAAACACTATCTCTGGGTATGTCTCTGGGGGCATTTCTGGAAGAGATTAGAATTTGAATTGGTAGACCAAGTAGAGATGATTAATCTTCTCAATGTGGGCAGGTATCATCCAATCCACTGGGGACCTAAATAGAACAAAAAAGCAGAAAAAGGGCAAATTTGCTGTCTTGCTGTTCAAGCTGAGACATCTATCTTCTCCTGCCCCATCCACATGGGTGCTTCTGGTTCTCAGGCCTTCAGTCTCAGAATGAATTACACTACCAGCTTATCTGATTTTCTAGCTGATTGATGGCAAAGTGTGGGGTTTCTTATCCTCTGTAATCATGTGAGCCAATTCCTATAATAAATCTCTCTCTCTCTCTCCATGTACGTATGTATAGATGTATAGTATGTATACATACATATATATACATATATACATACACACACACACACACACATATATATATATATATATATATATATATATACAGGTTCTGTTTCTTTGGAGAACCCTAATACATATATCTTTCTGTATTTCATTTTCCTTACTTATAAAATGAGAAGAATGAAAAGGACCTATATTGTACAGTTAGGATGATGATTTTTTTGTTTTCTTTGTGTGTTTGCTTTTTTTTTTTTTTTTTTTTTTGAGATGGAAAGTCACTCTGTCTATTAGGCTGGAGTGCAGTGGCACAATCTCAGCTCACTGCAGCCTCCACCTCTCAGGTTCAAGTGATTCTCCTGCCTCAGCCTCTGGAGCAGCTGAGATTACAGGTGTGTGCCCCCACACCCGGCTAATTTTTTTTGAGACAGAGTTTTGTTCTTGTTACCCAGGCTGGAGTGCAATGGTACGATCTTGGCTCACTGCAAACTTCACCACCTGGGTTCAGGTGATTCTCCTGCCTCAGCTTTCCAAGTAGCTGGGT